TCACACCCCTGCTCCCCAGGGCCCCGGGTTCTCCTACAGGGGTGCGGCCGCCAGCCCGGGCCAGCGCGCTTCTGCCACCGGCAGCCCGTTTACCGGACGTTTCTGCGCCGCGTTGCGAATAATGGGGCGCATCCCGCACCGCGTCCGCTGGTTGGCGTGAACAAAAGCGATGAGCGTGAGCCCCGTTTCCAGTGAGACCCTACGCGGTGGGAGGCCGTGTCCCCTGTCCCCCACCCCTCTCCTGGAAGATCCGAGCGCGGCTCGGGCGCTGAGACCTCCGTCCTGCGGAGTCACGTTCGGGAGAAAGGCCAGAGCAGGAGACTCGGCGAGGCTGTATTTAGAGCCCACGCAGCGCAGGATAATTTCTGAGATAAATACACACCCCTGTCCCTTCCGCCCGAAGAAGGCGCGCACACGCGTGTGCACACACACACACTCACACGCGCGGTGGGCACGCCGACCCCAGCAAAGGAACAGAGAACGAGGGACCCTGGCGCGTCCTCACCTGCCTCCAGCGCGGCGCCGTTCAGCATGCTCGCGGCCGAAGGGGCTGGGCGGCGGGGGAGGCGGCCCTGCAAAGAGCGCGCGTCAGCCGGGGTGCTGGGGTGGGCGCGCCCCCTCCCACCGAGGTTGCTCGGACCTCTCCCCCTGCGACTTCGGTGCCAGCGGCCCCGCGGACAGACAGTGCCCAGACGCTCCGGGGCGTCCGGCCCTCCGCGCGCGCCCTGAGCATAAAACTGCTCCCGCCAGGCAGCCCGCATGGGGTCTTACCTTGAGGTCCGGACGGTCCCCCAACTACCCGGTCCTCGGCGAGAGGGCGGGCGGCGGCCGGAGGTGCTGGCCGGTCCCTAGGTCTCGCCGAGGGTCCCTCTGTTAATCCAAATAAACAAACAGTTGAATGGGAAATTCCCTCTCCCTCTCCCTCTCTCTGTCTCTCTCTCTCTTCTCTCTCATCCCTCACCTCTGACCCGAGCAGCTCCCTCCACCTGTCTTTTATTTTCTGTTTATGCCTTCCAGCTCTGGAGGGGAGGAGGGTGCTGGGCAGCAGGTCCCCCGGGCTGGTGCCGGAGACGCGCTCCGAGGCTGCGTCCCGCCCTTCCAGCCTCTCAGTAATCCGGGAGGTGTTAATGGGGGCCTCCCGGTTACTGAACCTCATAAAGCCCCAGCATCTTGAGGCTGGGGCGCCGCGGGGGGCTGGAGTCGGGTGGCGCGCCCGGGGCCCCGTCCCCAGCCGGCCTCGGCTTTCCCCGGCTACCCTCCGGCAGATGCGACCGGCGGCGGGAGCCTGCAGAGGCGGCGGGCGGCAGCTCGCGCGGGGAGCTGGGCCAAGCCATTGACTGCTCACCGCAATCCCCCGCCCCTCAGGTCCTTCCTCACTCTCCGTGCTCCGGGCGGGGCGCGGGGACCCAGCACTTTGGGGTGCGCTCTGCGATCCAGGGGGGAGTTGTCACCGAGTCCGCGCGCGGGCGGGAGGTCTCCAGCCCGACCCAGCCGAGAGCTGGGAATGGGGGGAAACGACTCAAACCCTGAGAGACGAGCCTCCCGGTGGGGGGTGGGGGCGCAGAGAGACTTACAGACTCAGGATGGGCGGGGTCCTGTTACTTGATCTCAGGTGCCGGAGAGGCTGCGGACCCCAGCAGCCCCGAGCGCGGTCAGGCCTGGGGAAGCGGTCGGAGGACCGGTCGGAGGACCGGGAAGACCGGCCTTTGGCCAGTGATCTATCCTCTCCCCAACCCAGTGCGCCCCTAGCAGCGGAAGATGGGGGCCAGGGGTCACTGGGAGGCTCCCGCGCCGCTGGAGCGCGGGTGTGAGCACCGAGATTGGCCGTTCCTGGATGCGGGTCCGGGTGACGCCGCCGCCCTCCCAGCCTGCCCCTCCCGGTGTCCCCACGGCGGCTCTTCCGCGGTGCGTGCGTCGAGGGAGCGCCGGGCTGGGGGCACCCGCTGGCCCGCGAGCCGCGTGAGAAAACAACGTGGGGTACGGGCACGTGGGGCCGGGCCGCGGTGGACCCACCTCTGTGCCGGGCCGCCAGCTCCGCTACAGTTTTGGGGTGGCGAGGGATCCCGCAGGAGCCGTGAAGCCGAGCGGTGGGGCTTCCTCTCCCCTCCCCCAACCCCGAACGTAGCCGGGGGCACTCGGGACAGAGTGCCCCTCTCTCTACCCGAACACTGGGCTTCGCCAGCCAGTCCCGCCGGCCAACGGGTCTGTGATTTCACCTTCTAAGGTCCCCTCACCCCGACTTTCCCTTCCCACCCCGGCCTGGCCAGCTCTTCCTCTCCGGAGAAGCACCCCCATCTCGGTGGGTTCTCGCAGCCGGGGAGGGAAGAGGCCTTCCAGGTTCGGTGTCTGTGCTCGCTGGCCTGGCCATTGGCTGGCGGGCTGGCCCACGACGCCCGCGAGCACGCTTGGGTGCCCCCCTCATTCCTGTCCAGAGCAGCGCCTTTTATCCTCTTCTTGGTGACGAACCATTGTAGGTGTTTGGTAAACACATGCATTCTACACAGGCACGCTCACGAGCCGCACACTGCGCACTCGAGAACCCACATCTCGTGGGAGAGGAGGTGGTCAGAATCTCCCGGCGCCCCTAGAGCCGGCAGTCCGGGTTGAGACGCCTTTACACCCCGAGTCTCTGGCGGTTTGGGGGCCTCCAGCCCAACCCTGAAGCCCTTAGCGGGGACAGGGGTCTAGCAGCGCTTGGCGCTCTCGCTGGAGCGGGGCATCCAAAGGGCACCCCAGGGCCACCCAACCCCCAACTACAAGAGCTGCGGGTTCTTCCACAGCCTGTCTAGAAATCCGGCTGCCCACGGAGGTGCTGGGGTGCTGACTGCTGCCCCTCACACACACACACACACACACACACACACACACCCGCCTTTCTTCTTGTTCATGAGCGGAGGGCATAATGTGAGCAGAACCTTTCAATTGTTGCGGAGAAGTGAAAAAATTGCACCGAGTTTAAAGTCCCCCACATGGGCAGGTGTGCAGCCCCCAGGTCAGGCCGTGCCCGGAGGTGGAGATGACTGTGGGGAAGGTGACAGGGCAGGTGTTGGCGCGGAGTGGGGAGGGCGGGGGCGCTTCTGGGTCAGCCGGGAGCAGCGAGGTCTCCGAGTGCTGGGAGGCCGGCCGTGCTCAGTGCCGCTCCCCGGAGGTGAGCCAGAGCCCCAGCCTGGTCTGGAGACAGACCTAAGCCAGAGTGCCAGGTGCTGGAGGTGCGGGTGGGCAGACCTCGCAAGCCCTGAGGATAAGGGGCATCCAGGTGGAACAAAGGCTTGTGCAGGCCCAGGGGGCGGGTCCCCTTCTGCAGGCCCCTGTGTTCCAAACACACCGGTTTGGGAGCCCAGAGTGTCCCTGCAGGGACTGGGAAGGGTGTGTGTGTAAAACGCCCTTCTCTTCCTGGCCCCCAAAACAGGCTGCCAAGGTGGCTTCTGGGGGGTGCCATCCACCTGCAGGGACTGGGAAGGGTGTGTGTGTAAAACGCCCTTCTCTTCCTGACCCCCAAAACAGGTGGCTTCTGGGGGGTGCCATCCACCTGCTAGAAGCCTGTAGAGGGCAGGGCCCTTCCCCAGGAAGGGAAAAGCCACCCTCCACCCCGTAATCCCCGCAGCAAGATCCCCCACATCATTCCCTTTTGCTTTTTCAGCGTAAGGAACAGTCTAGACGTCAACCCCCTTGATTTATGGCGCCTGGCGGCAGAAGTCTCCAGAACCCCGAAAGTGGAGCTGTCCGACCGAGACATAGGCAGGGACGGCTGTCTTCCTGGGCACCCGCGTGTGTTTGGATACACACAGCCAGTAAGAAACCTGAATTTGTACTTTACAACGTGCGAATGCAATACAGCTCGCCCTCCCCGGCGAGGCCCGTTTATGTGGCCATATTGTGTTTACTGTGGGCACCCCCGCCCGTGCCACACCCGCTGTGTGGTTCGCAAGAATCTCCCCAGAACCACAGAGAACTTCAGACCTTGGCTCAGGGCTGCAGACACTGGAAATCGTGAGATCGCCCCCCCCATACCCCCCCCCCATCACCAGCCAGGCTGTATTGCCAGCAAGGCTTGAAGTTCTGCCAGGAAGTCACAAATGTCCCGCAGAAGGGTCCTCCAGGAGGGACATGCTCAGTCCTTGCTCTGGGAAAGAGCTCTCTGGGAGGGAGGCGCCCCTCAGCAATTTCCATCTGCCAAGGGGCTTTCTCCAAACTCTTCGGTAGGGGGCCCCTTTCCAAACCGAATTCCTTTCCTCCTTGTGTCTCCAGAACAATGGCCTCTTGGGACTGTTTCTTCCTCTTCTTCCTCTTGGGACTGAAAAGGGAGCAGCATCTACCCCCACCCGGAGAGGCTGCTCCTCGCCCAGGAAAGAAAAGGCGGTTGGCTCCCAGGAGTCCCTGCTCCGGAATGACAACCTGCCCCATCACCAGCTGACCCCCTTCTCCTGTTCCCCTCAACCTAGCTCCTGGAGAGGGCAACCCCCCCCGCCACGGAGCCCTCCCAGGGCACCACAGTGCCAGCATCGGCAGGGCACCCCAAACGCCAGCAAGTTTGGGAACTGATTAAGAATTTGACATAAAACGAGTCATACAAGTCACAATCAGTGGGAACGCTAGAACCTCCCTGGCTTCTCTGCCTTATTTCACAGCTTCGGGGGGCTTCCCGTCGGAGCCGAGCTGACCGAGGAGCCGACCGGGGGAGGACACCAGACCTGCAGAGCACTGACGGGGCCGCAGGCAGAGGCCAAGGCAGGGCCCCCGGGGCGCAGAGGCTGCAGGGAGAGGAGGCTGAGGGTCCACTCTGGGCAGAGCCAGCCTTCCAGGGACAAGAAAAGGCTTCCTGGGGGCGGGGTCCTTGGATGGAGGCGGAGGGGGTCCAGGAGGAAGAGCCCCGGCAGCTCCGGATCCAGGGGCTTCAAGCAGTGGGGGGGAGGGGGTGTCTGACAGAGTCACCTGAGATGCAGAAGAAACAGAGGGACACGTGGGGGAGAGAAAAAGAATGCTTTAATCAGGGCCTCGTGAGTGGCCTGACCCCCGAGTCAGAGTGACTCGGGATTTTCACGGAGAGAACAGATGGGAGATGAGCACGTTCCCTGTCGCTGCGGCACCTCCCGGCCACGCGGCGGCTGCTGCGCGCACAGCCTTGTATCAGCTCGAGAGGCGCATAAAGTGACGCATGTCTGCAGACCCTCCTGTTTGCAGCCACCTCCGCTGGTGGCTGACCCCAGGAGAAAACTGCAGGGGGTCGGAGGCTGCCAGCAACTTCAAGAGGCACTGGTGTCACCCGATTGCTGCTATTTATTTAACGGAGCAGTTATTATTTTCTTTCTTCCACATAGGAGTCTGATAACCAGGGAGGCCGAAAGAAAAATAACTGTCGATGGGCCACTTCAGAGACACAGCTGCATTCGCTAGGTCTGTTCATCTCATGGCTGTTCTTTAAATATATAGATATTCATATACATGAATTAAACCAGGGCTAAGCGCGCAGACCAGGGAGGAATTCCGGACTAAGGTATTGTATTTTTGTTGGTTTTTTTTAGTTTGTTTTTTAAATGAGGCTTCATTGAGCGGAGAACAGAGATGAAATTGTTGTCAAACATAAAAACAGGAATTGAATTGCTTCTTTTTGGCTGGATCTTTAACATTGACTTGACCATATGGACACTGTGGAGAAATAAAACCAATTATTAATCAATTACTTAACAATCATCTTGATAAACATCCGGCTTCTTATGATGAAAAAGAGGACCTGCCAGCCAGGTTTTAAAGACCGTGCAATCTATCAGTTGGGTCCTGCAGACCAAGAGGAGAATGATGGCTACCCCGATGAAAAATCCAATTTCGGGTCCAAGAATCACTTCCTAAAAGCATCTTCCCAACTAAGATTTTACTGTCAGAAACTCAGTCTCAGAAAATCCCCAATTTATGCAAAGCTCTTATGTTCTTCATTAGAAACAGATACTGGCACAGGGAAGAAAACACATAAAAGCGAAGGCTTGCTTTTTCAGTGTTGGCTACAGTGAATGCATGGACTTCGTGTCTACTCCTTCATCACAAAGTGGGTCACTTAAAGGAGGTGAAGTGGTCCGTCGACAGAGGTTGTTATGTGTTCAGAATCTTACCTCTGTAACAATTTACCCAACTCGTACGCTTTTGAAAGTTATGGGGGAGAACCTGTTCCCATTTATTTTTGCTCCAAAAAAGTTAGTTCATCTGAATCAGTGCAGAGAGATATATATTCATTGAAATAGACATTTTAGGAAATGTACAGTTTGGGGTAGCTGGTTTCATGGTTAAAGACAGAGAAGTGTCACAGAAAGAATGAGGGGGGGGGAGAAGGAGGAGGAGGAGGGAGAAGGAGAGAGAAAAAGGGACGAGCAAACAAATAAACAAAAAAGAAAATCTTCATCATTTAAAGGAACCCACATCTCAATGCTGCACAAGGTTCTACCTACTCAGCTAATAATGAAAAAAAAAAAAAATGCTTTCTGGGATCTAGTTTGCCATATTCTAGCTCCCTTTTCCTGCTCTCTTTGTACTTCCCCGGTGAACATGACTTATTTAAAACCTCGTGAAAAAGTTTCCTGGCAATAAAAACTCCCATGGATTTCAAATCCCGGCTTTTCAAGGACCCGATGGTCACAGTGAAATGTTACCAAATTCCATTAACTTTAAAGGCCCTGCGTTGGTCCTAAGGACTTCATTGTCCTGGGCTAAGGGAGCTTGTGAAACGTTCACTCCAGGTCTATTTAGCTCTTTTATTTGACTTGTTTTTTCAAATAACAGGTATTTATGAAGTCACAGAAGCACCGTGAACGATCGCTGCGATGCGAGGTTTTCTACTCACGTGTCTGCAGGCAGAGCCACAGCAGCGGCCCCTCTGCCGGTGGGCCAGCTGGGTGAGCACCACGTAGCCAGTGGCCGGGTCCACGTAGGTCAGCTGGCCGGCCTGCGGGCCACGCAAGAAAACGATCCGTTAATCTCAGTCGCCGCCGCATCTCCTCACCCTGCCCGCAAACACTGCGACGTTTTCTTTCAACCGCACGAGAACGGTCTCCCCGGCAATTTTGGTGGCCCCTGGCCATCAAAGAGCGAATGCATTCCAACGCCACACGCACTCCGACTTCGCGTGGCACGACGAGGACACACACAGCTTGAGAAAAGCGAGGGGCTGATGGGGAAACAAGAACTCCTCTGTGCCCAGGGACGGTGGGCCAGGGCGTGGGCATTTGTCACCCAGTTCCTGGGGCACACGCATCATGACAGGTGATTTCGGGGACTCGGAGCGCTTCAGAGGCGGAAAATGAACTTGCATGCAGAAGTCGCACTTGCGATTTCAGTCCTAAAATATGCGGCCGGTGATTTAAACTTACGGGAAAGGCGCTAATTGAAACCAACAGTCCACAGAGGAGCATCGCTCGCCATTAGTGAGCCCTTGGCCTCCGCGATGTGGCCGGCGTCGACCATGTCAACTGCTTTCTTTTCTTTTTCCAAGTGCTGTTAGTCGTTTTTACCCCGAAAGAACCAAGTATTGTTTTACCATGTCAACATTGCTTTCCTGAGTTTTGATCAAAAGCAACTTTTAAGTCAGCCCTACAGATGCTCCGCCTCCTTCCAAACTGTCCCAAGTACGTGGTGTGGAGGCTGAGCAACAATTCCACCTCTGCCTTGGATTTTGACCATGTGGATGATGTTCTTTAGCCTGAGACCTTGTAGAGGAACGTTGTCCTGTTCTTTTTACAGACCAAGGTGTGACGGTGTCACTCAGACGTGCCATTTTGTTCCCAGACACCACAGGGAACTTCTTGAGTGTCTTCCCAGGGCCGGATATTTTATGCTGGTTGAGGTTTTAACCAACTTGCTTCAGGACTAAAGCGTGGAACAGAAGGACAAACAGAGTTCAAGTCTTCAGCTCCTCTAAGGCACCCAGCAAAGCCAGACCAGGGCAGCGGTAACCCAGCAAGCGGGCCCCTGGCCTGTCTCAGGGGTCTCCCGAATCCTTTGGGACCAGAGAACAGAAAACAGGAAACCAGGAGCATGAAACAATACATGAGAATGACCCACTGTCAAGACCTCACTTCTTAATTTACAAAGTCCGTGTTCGATGCCTTAGAAGACAAACAAAAGACACTGGAAACCGTTAGCGGCCTTCTTGTCACTTTTATAAGTTCTGGGTCTTCTGAGGGCCACTGTCTGGCGACCTGGGAAGTTGCGTGCTTTCCTCGTGGACCGAGAAACATCGACCTTGTTGTCTGCCCACACTAACTGCATTTGTCTTCAGTGGGTGGGCCTCAGGGTGTGGGGACGGCAGACACGAAACCAGTGCTGACAGTCTGACCCGAGCGAGATGCTCAGGGAGGCAGGAAGCCCAGGGAGGGAGGCAGCATGACCTGCGTTGGTGTGGACGCAGGACCATGGTGAAGGAGGGGCTGCGAGGTGTGGAAGAAAGCCGGCTTGTTACGGGGTTCACCTAGGGTCTCTGACAGTCAGCCTGTGAGGGAGGCACAGATGCCTGAGTGAGAAAAGGCCTCTTTCCTCTCCCAGGCTGAATGAACCAGTCTTGACACATCACTGGGGTTTGCTGCGCAGAGAGTAACGTTTGTGTTCATATTCACCATCGTTATATGAAACACATTCTTTTAAAAAGAGTAGAAACCGCCCTGGCCGGTTTTGCTCAGTGGTTAGAGCATCAGCCTTCGGTCCAGAGAGACCCGGGTTCGGTTCCCGCTAAGGGCATGTACCTCGGTTGCAGTTTGTCCCCGGCCCTAGTTGGTCATGCGGGTGGCAGCCACTCGATGTGTCCCTTTCACGTTGATGTTTCTCTCTCTCTCTCTCTCTCTTTCTCTCTCTCGTCCTTTCTCTCCCTCCTACTCTATCTGAACAAAAAATGGAAAAATGTCCTCGGGTGAGAATTAAAAAAAAAAGAGTAGAAACAGAACAATCCAGAAGCTTCAGCACCTGAAGGAGCGGACCAGGACTCTCAGGGCCGACTAACCATCAGTGGGAAAAGCCAGCTCAGGCAGCTTCCCAGGGTCCCCTGCACTCCTTTGGCTCAGGCCACAAGCAATTCATGCGACAGGTTGTGTCTGTACTACAGAACTCACTTGCTCTCGCGAGATAAAAAATATGTATATAAGCACGCCACCTTTAAACTCATGTTGTCTGAAGTGTTGGAAAGCGTGAGGGAGATGCTAAGTTTTGATATCGGCACTAACAAGCAGTTGTCAAATGCCCCAACAGAAGACACGACTCAAGATCGGCTGGGAGGGATGAAGGTGCTCAGCCTCGTGTCCTTGAAACTGCTCCGAGGGAGGGGAGGGAAGAGGTGAAAGGATGGTAGCAAAACTGAACATAAATTAAAAAGGAGTTCATGCTTTATTTTTCATTATTGAAATCACTGGATGGTGGGGGGTTTAACCGACAATGCAGATAAACGCACAGCATCTTTCCTGTGACTTCTTAGGTTCTATACCCCTTCCACTGATGCCTCACACCGGTCCCCCAACACACACACACAGACACACACAGAAACAGACACTCTTACATACACACAGACAGACATACACATACAGACACACTCACACATACAACCAAGCAGACACACAGATACAGACCCACACACAAACAGACACACATACTTACATAGAGACAAACACAAACACATACATATACAGGCACACAGACACACACATACAGTCAGACACACACATACAGTCAGACACACACATATACAAACACACACATATACAGACACACACACATAAAGTCAGACACACACATACATCCAGACACACACACATATACAAACACACACACATATACAGACACACACATACAGTTAGACACACACATATACAAACACACACACATATACAGACACACACACATAGTTAGACACACACAGTCAGACACACACACATATACAAACACACACATACAGTTAGACACACACATATACAAACACACACATATACAGACACACACACATACAGTTAGACACACACACAGTCAGACACACACACATATACAAACACACATACAGTTAGACACACACACACACACAGACACACACATATACAAACACACACACATATACAAACACACACACATATACAAACACACAGACACACACACGCACAGTGATGACAGATGGGCCCCACGCTGCCCAGCTGGGCTCCTGCACTGCTCAGAGGCAAGAAGGCTCTCATCGCGCAGGCGCACGGACGCCGGGGCACAGGGTGGGGCAGGGGGCGGGACGGGCAGGCGGGGCCACACCGCGCAGGCGCACGGGCGGCGGGGCGGTGCAGGGGGCGGGGCCTCACCGCGCAGGCGGCCGCGTGCAAGTCAGCGATCCGACGCTCCTCCGCCGTTAACGCTTCGCTCGCCGGGCTTCTCGTCGCCCCTGTCGACCTGTCCTGAGAGTGGAGCCCGGCGCCATCGCCGTCTCCCTCCGAAGCGGAGCAGAGAGTGACGCTGGGGGCCTGGCAGAAGCCTGCTGCGACCCAGAGGGGCGGTGGCGGCCGGGCGGCTGGAGGCCGTCCCCCGAGCACCGCGGCCACCAGCGCTGGGACCTGCCTGGCCGCCATGGCCGCCGCGGGCCAAGCCGGCCCGCCCCCGCCCCGCCCCTCGAGCTCGCCCCGCCCCTCGAGCTCGCCCCGCCCCCTCGAGCTCGCCCCGCCCCCGCGGAGCCTGCAGCCCTAGGAAGACGGGCCCACCTGCTAGGCGGCGGAGGGCGCGCGGGGCCCCGAGAACGCGCCTTTCCAGCCTCCCGGTCCGAATTCTCAGCCTTCCGTTTTCCTGAGATGCAAAGGGCATGACCGCCGCGACCGTCCAGATGCCAGAAAGTGACCGGAGTAGCCGAGGTTTGCACCTGTCCGGACAGGGCCGGGGACGCAAAAGTGACCACATGAGAGGCCGGCCCCGCCTGAAATAAGGACCCAGGGCGCCATCAAACACTAAGAAGAAAGAGGGGTGATTAATGTCCGAAAGAGAGAAGCTGTCCTGACATCCCCCACAATCGAATTTGAGGAAATTAGCCCCAGTCCAGGGGTAGTTTAAGGTATTAGAGTTAAATCGACACCTCTCTGAACCCCCATCTCTGTCTGGGTTTCAGGGACAGGAGGGTTGAAAAGGAGCCGCTTTGTAGGGGTTTGGTTTTGAAGAACCAAGGACAAGGGTAGATTTTCGAGGTGTGCATCTTGAGTTTAAAGTGATGCTGAATGAACTAAGAAACGGGCAGCGAGGAAATGCGGGGTGTCGCCGGGATGGGGCGCCATGGGCTCTCCACCTAACACCTGAGCATGTAACTTAGCCAAGTAAAAGAGCTATCCTGTTCATACGGCCTGGATTTCAAGAGAATCCGTCATTTTATTCCCCTTTCGGAAGGTGCCAAGGGTAGAGGGAAAGTAAGAAGAAACAGCCTTCGGATACAAGAGATGGACGACACTACCTAAGTCTCAGTGGTTTATCAGTAAAAGAAACGTAGTTAGGCAGAGAGAGACCTTCCGTCAGTATATCCCTGTTCAACCTGCGAGCGACACACCAGCCATCCATCAGAGGCAGGTCGTTTTCTATTTGAATTTCCGCCGGCTCCATTCTCCTGTGACAAACGTGCATTAAAGTGAATGCTGATTTTATTATTGTTCTGTCCGTTCTCTTTGGACCCCTCTAGTGGGTTGAACTGGTCTCTTGGTCGTTCTCTGTTTAGCACTCCACTCCTAAAAGACTTGACCCATAGGTATTCGAGGTATTCGAGGGGGTCTTTCTAAGACCATGCATTTCACTGACGGTTATGCTCATCTTCCCCATTAATGTTTGTGTGTTAAGTCTGGGTGCTAGGCCCCCCTCTCTAAAAACGTTTAGTCCCATTTCCTATAAAGACTCACAGCTGGCTTGACTCAGTCTGGAAGAAGTAAGAGAGACCGACACTACCATTTTCCCTTGCCATTGTGGGGGTTCAGGGGTCAAGTTCTCTGATCTTTCTCAGGCTCCCATTAAACACACCCTGGTTTCTAGACCCAAAGACAAATAGAGGACCTCAGAGCTACTCTCAACTATTTGTAGTACTTTCATAGGTAAAGGATTTCAGGAGAATTCGCGGGATGAAGAGGGTGGAAGCAGAAGCAATGCGCCAGAAGGAAGGTTGGGGTCTCTAGTGAAACGCTTGGCTTTCGCAGTCGCACAAGCCTGCCTCTGGGGGGCAGTAGGGGGCAGGGCTTGAGGACGGCCTCCCACTGACTTCAAGCCAACTTCATCTGCTGAGCGTGAGATCCGGGCCTTGGTTTATTCTGTGAAATAGGTAGATTACTAACACCTCCCCATCGGGTTTTTGTAAGGATTAAACGAGACTCTTCCTGCTGGGCACTTTTCTCTGTGTCTGGTTGCAGATTAAATGTTAAATTAAAAGTTCGCTGTGCTACGGAACCCGCCGCCTGGTTTTGTAGGTTTCCCATCATTAGCGGGATTTAAGCAAAGGTGAGATAACAAATCGGTAGCGGTGTCCTAGGTAAGATTTAAGCATTGGCTAACCCCCCCCCCCCCCCGAGATTTTCTGTTCTATCACTTTGTTTCCGGTGAATATCAAGGTATCTTTCATAAACGACAATGGTGGCATTAACTGCGTGTCATACTTTTCTCCTGCTAGTACAATTCCAATGGCATAGTCTCCTGGACGATCTGTGACCACAAAGTAGGGCCAAGACCACCATGTAAGTCCAGTCTACCTCTCAGGCTCTTGGAGAAAACCAGCTATAGAGGCCAGAGACCTGGCCAGGTAGAGAGACTGAATTTGGTTCAGGGAAAACACTAAGGAGTGGTTCTTGTGATGATTTAGATTCTCTGTTTTGATGGCAAACATTAAAAAGGGTCACGGTGTTCACTGTTGGTAAGACATAAACACGAAAATGAACACTAATATATTGCTGGTACAATGAAAAATGGGAAATATTTTGCAAACCAATCTGGCGAAGTATTATAAATTCAAATGCCTGTTCCCATCGACCCCCCAAGTCCACTTTTGAGCAACTTCTCTGTAGCAATATAACCATCATTTTTCAGGCCATTTTAAAGACTCTTTATTTTAGCGTTGATCATGATGGCCAAAAAAAAAAAAAGGATATAATCTCATTGTCTATCAACAGGACAGCAGTTAAATGGAGCATGTTCTTACCATGGAATATTATATGACTTTCAAAGAAGGACTTTGATGTCTGTTACTGACGAGATGTCCGTGATGTATTGTTTGGTGAGTAGAGCAAGTTCTAACATATTTGTAATATCTCCTAATATTTGGAACAGCAAACAAAGAAACAAAACACTTCTCAATCCTCTTTGAATGTTTTCATATATAAGGGGAGAGGTGCGGATGCTGACGTCATTGGTTACCTTGGGGCTGGGCTGGGCAGGAATCACTGTCTTCCATATCAGTCAATGCATTGTTTCACGTACTAAATGTACTAAAAAGTGTTTTAAATGGAGAACTTAATAATTACAAAAATGTATCTACTTTTGACACAATGCAGATTTTCTTGAGGAAAATATCCCTACTCTCCCTTCCTATTCTTATTTTTAATTCCTTCCTTCTTCTGTCTATGGCCCCCCAGTGTCTTCCGTCCCTTCTGCATGTTCTATTTCCCCTCGAAACAAAGGTATGGGACTTGCAGACACCGTCGTACCTGCACCACTGGAGCCCAGGCTTGGTGAACCCCATCATGTACTTCGACATCGCCCTCGATGGTGATCCCTTGGGCTGCGTCACCTTCGAGCTGTTTGCGGACAAAGTTCCAAAGACAGCAGAAAACTTTCATGTTCTGAGCACTGGGGAGAAAGGATTTGGTTATAAAGTTTCCTCCTTTCACAGAATTATTCCGGGATGTATGTGCCAGGGTGGTGACTTCACACGCCGTAATGGCCCAGGCGGCAAGTCCATCTGTGGGGAGAAATGTGATGATGAGAATTTCATCCTGAAGCGCACGGGTCCTGGCATCGTGTCCACGGCAAATGCTGGACCCAACACACACGGTTCCCAGTTTCATCTGCTCTGCCAGCCGGAGGGGTTGGATGGCAAGCGCGGGGTCTTCGGCCCGGTGAAAGGCGGCTGGATGTGGACACAGCCTTGGAGAGCTTGGGTCCAGGAATGGCAGGACCCGCAAAAAGGTCACCATTGCCGACTGTGGACAACTCTCATAAATTTGACTTGTGTTTTATCTTAACTACCAGACCATTCCTTCTGCCGCTCAGGAGAGCCACCCCTTCACCCCCACCTGCTTGGATTGTCTATAATATTCATGCTCTTGCACAGTTCGTCGAGTTCCATTTTCTTTACTCTTTCCAAGTCTAGCTGGATTGCAGAGTTAAGTTTATGAATATAAAATAAAAACTAAACAATTGTCAAAAACAAAAGAAAACAAAGATATTGTGTTGGAAATGGGAACATATTACAAGTCAAGAGTTGAACTAGACTGGAAGCATATAAAGAAACAGTTCACTTTTCTCTTTTCCATCTCAGGCGCAAACTATCCACCGCGAAAGTTCTTTTTAAGCAGAATAATGGAGCCCCCCCCACGGCGGGGTCTGCCATTTCCATCGAAACGAAACTTCCTGAGACTGCTGTTCAGAAGGGACTCTAAAAACGTGTCTTTTTTTTCCTTCTTCTTTTTGTAAATAGGAAGACTAGCAGCTGCGCTTTTCCTTACAGTAAGCAAGAAAGGCTCTGATAGGAAAAGCAAACTTGTTGACTCGGACTTTACATGGACAATTGCAAGAAAAGAATGAGCTAGATGAACTAGTCAAAATAAAGGGACAGACCAAGCCAGAATTTTTCTCATGTCGTAGTCAGTCAGCTATTAATACACGCATGTGCTCATAAATGACGTGAAATTTCTTGTCCTAAAATGGTATATCCTTCAAGTTTGTGATGAACTATGTAAACTGTGCAGTTGAACAAATTTTATCTTTATTTGTGAAGGACTTGAGCCCTGGACTTCTTCTAGGATTGCTAGTTCTATTTTCATTACCTTAAAATCTTTATTGCAGAAGACATGAGACACATACAAAAGTGAAAGTGTAATGAGTGCCCAAGTACCCATCACCCAGCTCCAACGCTCCAGGGCCCAGGGCAGCTGCTACTTCATCCACAGCTCATCTTCTCCCATCACATGGCTTTGTGACAAAGGACACATACTGTAATTTTTTTTTTTTTTTTATCCTCACCCGAGGACATTTTTCCATTTTTTGTTCACGTAGAGTGGGAGGGAGAGAGAGAGAGAAACATCGACGTGAAAGGGACACATTGAGTGGTTGCCACGCGCACAACCCAACCAGGGCCGGGGACAAACTGCAACCAAGGTCCATGCCCTTAGCGGGAACCGAACCCGGGTGTCTCTGGACCGAAGGCCGACGCTCTAACCGCTGAGCCAAACAGGCCAGGGCCTGTAAATATTTTAATATCTATGTCTAAAGGATATGATCCCTTTCAAATACAACCATAGTACTATTAACACACCTAAAAGAAGAGGGATATTTTTTATTTTAATTAAAAAAAATTTTTTTCTTTATTGATTTTCAAGAGAGAGGAAGAGAGAGAGAG